AACCACTAATACTTGCATAATAGGGTAAGCTATCTATATTATACCTATAGGGGTGCGACCCTTCCCAAGCCCTGCGTGAATACGGAATACTTTGTGCATGAGGCTGTCTTTTTTTATTACATAGAGAGAAAACAAGAGAGAGAGATAGCTATAATTAGGAAATTAAAACATTTGTGAGTGTGTCAAGGAACAAAGATATGTCCAAGTGTTCATCAATAGTTGGTTGATTCACAACAATCTTTTGGTAACCAAAGATATGGATTATATTCTAACCAAAGATTAAAATAAAAATTAATTAACTTTGACCCCTCCACTTCAGATTATATTGGAAATCAAAAGGTTAAACGAATGGAATTGCAAACGTACGCGTATGCATGCAATGTCCCTTATTTGTGATAACATTTTCTTTTTCCCTTCATAAAATACGATTAAACCTGTTTTATGCTGTTTCTAGAATATCCCAATGCATGAAAAAGGGGAAAATAAAGACTAGCTATCTACATATTGGCTGCTTTTATAGATCTTGAGTAGTCATTTCTATTTAGCTGTTCTCCATTTCATGTTTAACTTTGTAAGAGAATAAATGAAGTGATATATTCAGTAAAAATTCACATTCACAATTTTTATTATTGAACTTGATCTTTTGTGCTGGTCTGTTTAATTCTTGATACCTTCCTTTATCTCTCTTTAACTTTAATGCCCAATTAGAGTCGGATGCAATATATTGGCATCCAGTTGCCCTGATTATCATTAAATTTGATAACATAAAAGGAAAAAGAAATAAAAGGGATTATTATGTGAATAAGAACAAGGTAAAGGATAAGTGGCAGTTCCTATACATCTAATACATACACATGCCCAAAATGCGAGTTAATTTCATGGATGGTCGTCCAAGTTATAGAAATAACTCACTAAATTCACTTGTGTTTTATTTAGGACAATAAAATCATTCAACTTTAGTTTTGTCGCTTAGAAAGTAACTCTAGTTGAAAGTCTGCAACGGCCTATTTCTGTCACGACCCGGATTTCGTTCTCGGAGTCGTAATGACGCCTACTAATATGAGCTAGGCAAGTCGACTGTTTGAACCAATTACCTTTTTACCCCTTTTATATTCTTTAAAATTATAAAGCAATAATGTGTAGACAGCGGAATTTACAATAAGCGGAAGAAAAGCAATAAATTATCTGAATATGTATCTAATACAACTGTTTGAGCATCGACTACACAGCACTGGTGTCACAGTTTCACAGACGATCTAAGAATACTACATACAAAGTCTAAAAGATAAAAGATACACTTATTCTGAAATAAGTAAAGGAAACAGGATAAAGGAAAGATAGGAGGTGACGCCAAGGCCCGCAGACGTTTGCAGGACTACCTCGGGTCGCCTGTGTGGACTGAAGACAACACCCTCACTACGGTCCAAGCGCTCCGATATCAGTATCTACACACAGTGCAGAGTGTAGTATCAGCACAACCGACCCCATGTGCTGGTAAGTGCCTAGTCTAACCTCGGCGAAGTGGTGACGAGGCTAGGACCAGACTACCAAATAAACCTGAGCAGTTAAATCATATATAACGGAAATAGAAGCAGATAATTACAATAAAAATTGGGCGGGGGAAACATGTTGCGGGGAGTAACAGGTAACAACAGAACGACAATAGAGAAACATAAGGAATGCCATAAATCAATTACCAGCAAAAATAAGGAAATAGAAGAAATAGGCACACACGTAATATCATAGCAGGCGTGCAACAAGATCCCATTTCATATATTACCGTTGCAGGCGTGCAATCCGCTCCCATTTCACATATTACCGTTGCAGGCGTGCAACCCGCTCCCAATTCACATATTACCGTTGCAGGCGTGCAACCCGCTCCCATTTCTTATATTACCGTTGCAGGCGTGCAACTTGCTCCCATTTCTTGTCAACACCAATAAAAAAAGGGTCCCGACAAGGGATCAATAATATCAAACAAACATCCCGACAAGGGAATAATAATATAACAATAACATCCTGGCACGGGAACAATAATGATAATAACATGTGAAGCGCAATAAACCACAACAGAGTCATAACAATTACAATACAAGACTCACGGGCATGCTTGAAAATCGACGTATAGATATTAGTCACCATGTCTATACGTCGTACTCCACAATTAACACGTAGTAAATAAGACAAGATTCCTTATCCCCCAAGCTAAGGTTAGATCAAACACTTACCTCGATGCCACGAACACAACTCAAGCCTCAACTATCGCTTTACCTCTTGATTCCACCACTAACTCACTCGTATCTAGCCACAAGTTACTTAATAATATTAATAAGTGCTAAATGAAACATTTCTAATGTATGGAAATAAGTTTTCTAAAGTTTTTTCCAAAAAGTCAAAAATACCATCGGGCCCACATGGTCAAAACTCGAGGTTCGAACTAAAACCCGATTACCCATTCTCCCAGGAACTCAAATATATAATTTGTTTTGAAATCGTACCTCAAATCGAGGTCCAAATCTCCAGTAACTGGTGGGGGGGGGGCATCACATTTGCGATGGAAGACTCGCATTTGCGACCCAGCCCTCGCATTTGCGAACTCACAATGCGAAGCCTGCAATAGAACAGCTGAAACCTGCAATTTTTCCAAGTCCAATTCTACTCCGTGGCCTATCCAAAACTCACCCAAGCCCTCGGGGTTCCAAATCAAACATGCCCACCAACCTAAAAACATCATACGGACTCGCTCATGCATTCAAATCACTAAAATAATATCAACAACTGTGAATTTAGTATCAAAATCATGAAATTTCTTAAGAACTTCAAATTTTTCAATTTTCTCAAATACGATCCGATTCACGTTATTTCAAGTCTGTTTCTTACCAAATTTCACAGACTTATCTTAAATCACATATAAGACCTGTACCGGGTTCCGGAACCAAAATACGGGCCTGATACCATCAAACCTTAAACACATTTCACTTTAAAAAACTCATAAATATTCCAGAAAATAATTTTCTTTAAAAATTTATTTTTCGGGCTTGGGACCTCGGAATTCGATTCCGGACATACCGCCAAGTCCCATATTTTCCTACGGACCCTCCGGGACCGTCCCATTATGGGTTCGGGTCCGTTTACCCAAAATATCGACCGAAGTCAACTTAAATTCATTTTAAAGCCGAAATTCATCATTTTTCACAGTTTTTCATATATTGGCTTTCCGGTTACGCACTCGGACTGCGCATGCAAATCAAGGTGAAAACAGAAAGAGGTTTTTATGGCCTCGAAATGCATGCAGAAATTATTTTTTAAATGGCATCACAATTTCTCTTGCCAAATTACTAAATGGCAGCCATATCATATTAAAATTTATTTTTCAATCACAAAACCCATTTATTCTTACCCGAAGCAAAGCAAGGTTTCTATGAAATATATGAAACCGATTAAGTAGGCGTTTTGACATGAACATTGTAATTTTTGAAAAAAGTAGTATTTGGTTAAGTTGAAAAATAGTATTTGGAAATTGAAATTGTGTTTGGACCTGTATTTCTGTTGAAAAAATATTGCAGTTTTGTGACTGGGAAAAAAAAGTTTTTTTTTGAAAAAATGGAAATTTTTCAAAAACTTGCAAAATTTCATGAACAAACACATTTTTGAAGAAGAAATTTGTAAAAAAGAAAAAATATTTATGGACAAATGGGGCCTAAAACTTGTTCAAACTTTGTTTTTATAATTACTCTGAGGGCTTTTAAAGCGAGTGTATTACACTTGTTGTGCCATGCTAGTTGTATGTGTTCAATAGGTATAGTGTAGTTTTAGTTCACGTGTCCAATAGATACCCCTTTTAATTCAAGTGTCTCAATGAAAAAACTAAGCAAGTTTAAGGGGTTGCATATACATTCAACATAGAAAATAATAGCTGGCATAAAATAGTCCAGTCCCGGAAAATACACAAAAAAGGAAACTAAAAGTGATTATTTTGATTTTTGAGACAGAAAAAGCGATTTGAATCAAATTACGAAAATGTGCAAGTCATTCCTTATTCCTCCTGCTTTTGAATAAAGAAATTGAACCTCTGCTTTATATTCTAGAGCAGCACTAGCTAGAAGCTTGTATTTCTGCTATTATTGGAATTCCATTATGGAGTACTCTAACCTCAATTATTGTCATATAAGTTAATCTAACATCACTACTTATACTTGATATTCAACTGCCCATGAGAACCTTTCCTAAAATAGATAAAGGAATATTAAGACCAAAATATTATTCCAATTAAGTATTGCAATAGCATCTTTTCAAATCCTTCTTTAGTGGTTGACTCTTGTTCACATATACACCAAACACAAGTCATGGTTCAGGTGGCCTACGTCCACTTTTATTCAAAGCAGGACAAATATACAAGATAAAATGATTAGAAGATTTAGCAAATTAGTTTGAAGTGAGTCCTGACGTAACCGATAAAGTTGTTGTTATGTCACATGTGATCAAGTGGTCACGGGTTCTAACCGTGGAAAGAGTCTCTTGCAGAAATGCAGGGTAAAACTGCATACAATGAACTCCTATGGTCCGGCCTCTCTCGTACGTAGCGGGAGCTTAGTGCATCGGACTAAGAGGAGAAAAAGCAGTTCAGTATCTTCAATAAAAATTGTGACAGCTCAAGTGTATTTTTTTAAAAAATAAAAATATGATAATACTGTGGTAATTTTTATGACCAAAGAGAATAGAAGTGGCTAAGTTTTTCTTCTAGGAAAAAGAGAAAAAGAAAAAATAGAATACCAAAAAAAAAATAGAATATTTATTAATTTGGAAGTAAGGTCAAGTTAATTTGAAATAACCTTGTGCTTAGAATGTACATATATCCTTATTATATTATACATTGGAATTGAAAATATTCCCAGGTATTGTAAGAATGACACATATAAAGAAAGTGTATAAGAAAAAAAATATATATAACACACAGATTCTGCATACCTTATCTCTTTAAATTATATATATANATCAAGAACTTCCCCTTCATCTGCTCCACTCTCCTTCACCTTTTTCTCAATTTCTTAAAACCCCTTTTGCTACCAAGTTAAATCATAGCTAAGTACCAATATATCTAAAAGCTAGCTAGTGTACACTAGTAGTGAAATGGCAACGGAGGAATTAGAGGAACTTAAAAATTCATGGACTTATCATGATGAGTTGATAAAAGAACTTCTTGATAATGAATCACCATTCTTTTTAGCACCTCAAGATTCAAATTCAACCAGTTGCCCCTCTTCAACCGACAACTCAGTAGTAACAAAGAGCTTCATTTCTGCAGTTTCCTCAGGGCCAAACATGGATGATATAGAGAGTCGTTTGTCAGTGACAAGCTATGGAAATCCATCTCATGATGTTTCATATGTCAGGTCTGAATTTTCTTACGATGTTTTTCCGACGAATTAATAAGTTATATGTACTGACAGTATAAAGAATAATATATTGCATACTTTATTTAATTTTAAACGTTAATTGGTAAGCTAACTTGGTATAGCATGTTTTTGTGCATAAAGATAGTACTTGTTATAACATGTTAAATTAATTATACTGATAGCATGAAAAACTTTCCAGTGTCAATCTATAGAGACTTATATGCTTTTTTGACTACTTAACGTCCATGTGCTCGAATCTCCAGTTTATTAATTCCAGTTAATTAAAGCAAATGTTGGTTTTTGTTTCTTTGTAATGAGCATGAATTTTGTTCATATGCTGCAGAACCTTTGGGTTGGAGAGAGGATTGAACTTGATGATGAGTAAGCAGGAGACTAATGAGACTAAATATACTTTGAGAATAAAGACTTGTGGTAATGCAATGGCTGATGATGGTTATAAGTGGAGAAAATACGGCCAGAAATCCATTAAGAATAGCCCATATCCCAGGTATATACTCATGCATTTTTGCCTCATTTTCTTGCTGTTAGAAAAAGAGTTTTGTTTCTATTGCTTTCCATAGAATGTCAGTCCAAGCCTTTGCATATGCCATTAGCAAATAGGTAGAATTTTAATATTTAAGTGATATAATCGATAAGTATGACAAAGATTGAAGTATAAAGGTCTAACAACATTTATTTATTTATTCAAACATTACTTTACTATTAATCTTTTCTTAAACAAAAAAATACATAACAACAACATTAACAAGCCTAGCCCAATCTCACAAGTGAGGTGTGAGGAGAATAGTGTTTAATAGACATCGGCTCTAGAAAAGATGAGAAAACAACAATAGCAACAAGCAGGATAGTAAAAAACCAAAGCGAAAGAAACATCAAGTAAAGGGCAGCCCAATGCACTAAGCTCCCTCTATGCACGAGGTTTGAGGAAGGGCCGGACCACAAGAGTCTATTGTATGCAGTCTTACCCTATATTTTTGCAAGAGGTTATTTCCACGGCTCGAAAGAAACATCAAATAGTAATAAAAATTTACGAATAAGAAAATACAGGACTACCCTGATACTACTAGTACTGAAAAGAAAAGCGCACAACTATCTATTAATCCTCTACATAAAAATACTATAAATCGAAGTTTTTATACTTATAAACTATTTGAAAAAAGAATAACCAAAAATTATCAGAATTGCTTATTGATGTTATTGAATTGTTTTTAAACAGGAGCTACTACAAATGCACAAATCCAAGGTGTGGGGCGAAAAAGCAAGTGGAGCGGTCCAGCGATGAACCGGACACTTTGGTAATCACTTACGAAGGCTTTCACCTCCATTTCGCTTACCCATTTCTCACGCTCGATCCAACTCAATTTCTTGAGCAGCCCAATAAAAAGCCCAAATTGACCAATTCAAAAGCCCATAACGAAGAATCTGAAAATGCAAGCGAAGTTGATGAAAGCCCAAAATGTGTTAATCTAAGCCCAGTTATAGACTTTGAACAGAAATTGGGCTTTGGTGGAATGGGCTCACAAGGATTACTTGAAGATATGGTTCCATTAATGGTTAGAAATCCATCTATGAAGCCCACAAGCTCTTATTCTTCATCGTGCTCATATTCGTCTCCACCAACTTCGCCTTCATTTTCTTGGTCAAATAATTAGTTATTTTAGCAAATATTGTATGTATAATAGACTATATATTGTTGTAGGAAAATTATTATAAGGGGATTTTAGCAAAATAAATTGTGGGTCAAACGTTGTAAAGTTTGTTAGATCTGTAACAAGGAAGAGCAAAAAACGCATTTTGATGAAATGAAAATCTTCCCTAGTGGAAAATGATCATATTTTTGTTTCATAAAGGAAAACTTGTGAGGGTTTTTGCTCTTTATTCTATTATTTAATACTTTATTTTCTTACTGTTATCCCCTGAGTAAATTTTACAATATTATCATGCCCAAGGGAAAACAAATTAATGCCCCTTTAATTTGTATAGTGGAATAAGTTGTACTATCATGATGCAAAATATATTTGTTTTATTACCTCGTATTCTCAAACTTGATACTGTTATGTAAGGTCCAACTTAAAGCACTCCCGAACAGTGCCAAATCCAAGATTTAAGATCGTGAGTGATCACTTTCTTTAAATATAAAGGTGCTATCAATCACATTGTATAAGTGCAAATTATTCCAACGAGGCAATAAAAAAAATTAATGAGAAAAATGATTACTATTATCATTACCAAAAATGACTTCTAGCCACAAGTCACAATAATAATGTTATAATTATAAATAAAAAAAGGACTTCTAGTCATAATGCACTACTGTACTCGACGACTTTTCATATGTTGAAAACGATGAATAATAGCATCATTGCTAACACTTGCAAATATCTTACGCTCTACATAGCAAACTAAACAACTATTTAAAATTCATCACCGATGTTGGTACAAAGTTCATTTTTTATATAGTCCATGGATGAGAAAGCTCGTCCTACAGAAGTTGTAGTAACAGGAAGAATGAGAGTCAACTTAATAAGCAAATAAACAAGCGGCCAAGTTTGGTGCAGATCAGACTTAACCTTTAGACACTAGTTCCCTTCATGCCAAAGAACCTCTTGCTAACACCACAAGCATAAACTAAAAACTATCAAGTCGACAATGGAGATCTCGAAGCTTGTTGCTATCAAACTCATTCGAATATATTCAGCCAACCTCATTATCCCGTTCTTATCAAAGTTACCAAATGAATTAACTGTATTTAAACTAGTCATATTGAGGAGTAAGTTAGTACTCATAGCATCAAAGCAACATTTAAGCTCTTGATGATGCAAATCTATAACAACATCAAAAATTTTAACACGCAAATGATGAAAATATGTAACATCAAGAGCTCTACGCTTCGATTTCCTAGAAAAATGAGCGTCCGTCTTTGGAATCATTATATCATGTTTATAACATAAAGGAGAGGCAACTTTCCATTAAAGATTCAAATATACTATTCCTCATTGTTTGCAATTGTTGCATTGTAAGAGCAATGAGTCCCATAACATTGACAATATCTTGATCCATCCTTTTTAATGCACAGCTCAACTCATCTGCCATTATTAGAACTTTTAACATCAAGTGCAACATAAAAGCAAAATCAAATTCCTTGATCTTACCCATAAGAATCTTAGCAACAATTTTATCGGTATAGTTTGGACACTCACGTGCAGTAAATTCAAGCACATGAATAATTGATGGAAATAGGACAATAAGATTATCCAATAATTTATAATGAGAACCTCAACTAGTATCACTTGGTCGTTGAAACCCACATTCTTGATTTAATCCTCGTTTAATATGCACTTCACCTGATTTGAGCAACTCCTCTAACTTTTTCAGCTTGATGTTCTTGAAGCAAATCCCTGCGCTAAAAAGATGCTCCATCAATATTTAAGGCATTAGAAACTATACAAAAAGTTTCATCTACATCTGAATATTTCTTTGCAAGAGCCATAGTGTTAATTGTATTTGGTGAGCAAAACAGTGAATGCAATATGCTGGTGGAGTCTCATTCAAAATCAAAGTCTTAACACCATTTAGCTCTCCCTGCATGTTAGTAGCCCCATCATAACCTTGCCCACGTATTTGTGTTGGACTTAATGAGTGATAAGAAAGAAAAGAGCAGATTGCCTTTTTCAATGACATAGCCAATATATTACTAAAATGAACAATACCAACAAATCTCTCTATTACTTTGCCTTCTTTGTTAATGTATCTCAAAACAAGTATCATTTGCTCCTAGTGTGATATATCTTTTGATTTATCAACTAGTATCCCAAAAAAATGCTTATCCATATCTTCAATGATAACTTTGATTGTTTCTTTAGCAGAAGCATCACCAATATCTTTTTAAATATTTGGAGAACACATCATTTCATTTCTTGGAACAATTTTTAATATAATGCTTTCGACATCCCAATCAATATCTCCATACCATTGCAAATGCTCAAGAAAGATACCTCTATTTGTAGAAGATTGACTCTCATCATCCCACGAAATGATTGTAACAACCCGGCCGGTCGTTTTGAGAGATGTAGCCCCGTTCTCCCATTTATTGCTCATTTAATGCTTTATAGTGGCATATACCTATCCAAAAATAGGCGTGTAAATTGGTCCCACATCATGTGAGGAGAACCTGCTGGTCTGCCAAGAAGATAAGATTGCCACTACCTATGGGCCTTGCCCTCTAAGCTGAAAAGTAGTGAAATCCACCCCATGGGACTCCAATATCCTCATGTTATGTAGTTTGTCCCTACACCAATCAACGAAGTCCTGGGGATCCTCATGTTTCTCACCTTCAAAGACATGAGGGTGTATCCAAGTCCATCTATCCAATAGCTTCTATGGCTCGCTGGCCGCAACTGGTCTAGGCTCAGGTACCGCTGCTGCAATTGGTTGGGCATCGCCCATGAGTAGTGCACCAGGGGTCTGTAATATGACAGCTGCATGTCCCGGAGCCTGAGAGGTAGGAGTCTGTGCTCCCCCTCCCACCTGGGATGTGGCTGGGTCTGTTGAAAATAAACTAGCCTGGGTCATGGAATCCATGAACTGTAGCATATGACCCATGACCTCCTAAAAGTCCGGTGCTGACATAAAATCGACCAGGGCTGGCTTTGCTGCGGGCACCTCGCCTTGCTCCTCAATAATGGGATCCTTCATTGGATCCGCTGATGGTGCAACCGGGGTAACTCTGGGATGTCCTCGTCCCTACCTCGGGCTGGTGCTCTCCCTCGGCCTCTAGCAATAGGGGTGGCAGCCCCTCTCGGGTCTGGAACGTCTGTCGTGCATGTTCTAACCATATGTGAGGGAATAAGAGAAGAAACTTAGTACACCATCAACTGCACGATAGGAGACGAATAGAAAGTAGTTTCCTAACACACTATAGCCTCTCGAAGATAAGTACGGACGTCTCCGCACCGATCTGCAAGACTCTATTATGCATGCACATAACTTGTGCAAACTATGTGAACATAATGCTCTGATACCATGTTGTCACGATCCAATTTTATTATAGGTCGTGATGGTGCCCAGCATCCCCGCTAGGCCAGCTAACAGTGAACTAACCCCGTGATTTCTCTTTTTAATAAATTTCCAAGTAATTAAACTCCCTTAATTTAAAATATTTAAGAAATAACAAATTTAAAATAAATAAAACGAAAGCAACCGAATGCAATCATAACCATAGAAAATGGACCAAAACCACAAGTCTACTAGCGTGTGTGCCAAGACCTGGTGTCACAAAAGTATGAGCTACTAGTAGAATATACAAAAGATTATTACTCTATTGTCTGAAATAAAATAGATAGAACAATAACAAAAGAAAGACTCCTGCTACTGCAGAACGACTGGGAAGGCAGCTCATCATATAGTCTTGTAAGAGGGATCAAGTGTGCGCGCCAGACTGATATCCAGATGCACCTGCCTCAGATCCTACACATCAAGTGCAGAAGTGTAGTATGAGTACATAAACAATATGTACCTAATAAGTATCCAGTCTAACCTCGAAGAAGTAGTGATGAGGGGTCAACTTTGACACTTACGATGGGCCAACATTAAGATGTCAAAATAATAACTAAGTATGGATGACATAAATATGGAAGAAAGCTCAATAACAGGAAGGATATTTACACTTTTTCTTCCGCTAAGAGTATATCTCGAGTTTATTTTCCATCATTTAACAATTTATGTCTCAAGTCAATGAACAATATCAATTATAATTGGTTCCATAGATTTATCATGCGCAAGTTATGCTGAGGTCGTACGACCCGATCCAACATAATAATATTTAAATTGTGCACTACCGAGGGTCGAACGACACGAACCATAGATGCATCTATCTACTATCGAGGCGTTCGGCCCGCTCCACAAATAGAAAATACTTTAAAGAAACACAAATTCTCAATAACAGTCAAGTGTCCCATTCACAACTTCAAGTAGTGAAATTTAACCTTTTACAATTCTTTTATTAATTTTCAATATGACTTAGGCAATTAAGTTAACAAGTACAAACATTTCAAGTATAGCATGATATGAGTCCTAGACTACCCAGACAGTAGCATAATTAGTAGCTACGTACGGATTCTCGTCACCTCGTGCGTACGTAGCCCCCATAAATAGGAACACACATTAATTAATTCACATATGGGATTAATTCCCTCTTACAATGTTAGAAAAGAGACTTACCCGCTTCAAAGCCTACTTTTTGGTCCAAGATTCTGCTCAAACCCTCAATTCGATGCCAAACGACTCGAAACTAGTCAAATATTATATAAAATAATCAATACATATTCAAAAATTCATATTCTAACTATCAAAGTGATTTCCGAAGCCTATTTGAAGAATCCCTAAAATTCCCCCTCGGGTCGTCATGCCCGGATTCCGGAAATTTTCGAAGAAAGTTGTTACCCATAACCTCATGAACTCAAATATATGATTTTTACTAAGTTTCATAACAAATTTCGTGGTTAAATCCTATTTTTATCAAAACCCTAGGTTTTCACCTAAAACCGTGATTTTTCAGTAATTTACATGTTATAATCTACCCATAACCTATATATTTAACTCATAATTGGTAGAAATTACTTATCTCAAAGTGTTAGACAAAATCCCCTCTTTGAGAGCTCCAAGAATCACCCAACAATGGAACAAAATGAGCCAAAAATGACTAAGTCCCGCATCAAATGAAGGGTCTGCCTTTTGCGATTTTCGAATATACGGAGGTTTGGGCATTTCTGCGGCTCAGCATATGCGAAAAAATTATCACAGATGCTAGCCTTTCCCAAATGGCCCATTCCTGCTTCTGTGCCTAGCTAGCCGCTTCTACGG